AGTCGAAACTTGAGTTCCCTTTCCACTCGACTCTTTAATTTAGGCAAAATGAAATATTTATGATTATTTACAGTTAATGTCGTGGTGCGGTTTGAAATTCAATTGAGTCAAACATGTTGGAGCAAATTCAAGCAGTCAATTCACAACATGGAGCTGCGAATGGTTTGGCTGACAAGCGTGACCGAAATGTTCACCTCAAAAACATGACCACAATGTACTACCAGTATTCATGGGTAGTGTACAAACTTTCGACCTTGTCAACAAAAGCTGCAAGTGGAAATGCCATTGCTCGTCATGCTACACTACAACTAGTACACTACTTTAAGTATCAGGCAAGTAAGAAGGATTAGATGGCTGGTGGCATCCTCAGCATCAGCTCGGGATGAATCGGCGCATGGTCGCAGACAACCGCAAGGTTTTGCTCTTGGTGGACAGCGCACCACCACATAAACCATTTAATGAATCCTTTTACGAAGTCCAAATGCTCCCGAAGTATTCTACATCGCACCTCCAACACCAAGACGATGACAATATTGCCTCAGCCAAGGTCAAGCAGCTCGGACTGATATTTTGGACATGGAGCAATCTTCGTATACACTTCACGACGGCATCGAAAGGACATACACTCATATCTCAAGATCCAGATCAGAGTTTCCTCTGGTATATTGCGTGAGTTCAGAGCTCAGCAGCATCTAAGTATTGTTTACGATCCGCGAAGGCATCCGGGGGACCAAGGTTAGGGTTCCGTGAAAATATTCCTTTTGACAGTAGTCCATTTGGTTCAGAAAGAAATGAAACCATCATACAAATACTCGTTGACAATATAACTTTTAGAGGCACAAGGTTTTCAAAGGTTATCCTATCCATCCACATCACTGCCGCTCGTGCTTGATGAAGTATCCGAGGTAGGAACTTCAACTTCGTCACCGTTGTCGTGTCAACTAGCACGTCATGCAGATTCTCCACAAGTTTCTCACAATGCTGGATGCAATTCATTATCACAGTAGGGGGAAGCTGCGCGAAGGCGTCGTCAAGCCTTTTCCTGAAGTCAGCAAACGACGTGTCCACGGTATACTGCACACCGACATCCCCTTTCACTTTTGCCCAAACCATTTCTATAGGTTGGAGATCCGAGTGATGCGGCGGGGTAAACACCACGTCATGCCCACGTGCACGGGCCATGGTGACGACGACCGGATCGACGCGATCCACCTACACAGGTTTGAGTCGAGCCCAAATGGTCTTCTTCAAAGCATGACTCGCAACATCCACGCCATAGCGCCGACAGGCCAGAAGCAATTCAGCCTTGCGCCGCGTTCCATTGGGCGTGTCTGGCGACAAACCCTGATGGTACTTGGCGTTACCCATGGCGAAGACGACACCTGACTTGCCTAGGGCCTCAACACTGGCCGTGGGACCCGAAGGGCTAAGTCTTGCCATTAGTTCGACGTATTTACCACGAGTTGCAGCATGCGCACTTGAAACACTGTAAGAAGCTTGGCCATGTCATTTTCCACGTTTCAAACCCAGTCTCTCGAGGTACATCTGAACCAACCTTGAACAGGTTGCCATGCTGGGTTTGTCGCTCGTATTACATTGGACTCGAGAAGTAGAGCATGAACATCTTTCGCCACGGTGCGAACACGGGTCATGCTGCGTGCTTGTATGAATTGCCGGACCAGTGACGTGACTTCGTGTGTGCGGGTTATGCGCGTGGGTCTTTGCTTGTTGTTGGATGGCAGTGGGACAGCCACAACGGATTTTGTTCGTAAGTACTCGGACCAGACGTCCTTGACGACTGTGAGACCCGTCCGAGAAGGCGAGCAATCGTAGGAGACACATCGGGAGCATGTTGCGTCGAAATTCGCAATGAAGACGAAGAATATCCAAACGCTCTTCTTTGGTTAACGTTTTTGGCCGCTCTTGCCGAATGGACTGAGTAATGTCGTCGTAGTCGTCGTCGCCGATGGTGGTCATTCTCTCGAATGGATGAGAGCACATAACAAGGTATTAATCCAAAGAGGTGTTTTGTTTACACCACACTTAAACGAATATAATACCTTCCGAAAATTATTTTTAGAGGGTATTATTTGTCGTTGTGGAAATTGCATTGTCAGCGATGTTTCGTGTAACACATCTTACAGGTCATCGTTTCTCAAGTAATACTTTCAATGAATGACTTTTTTATGCCAGTAAACTTAAGAAGCATAAAACATTTCAAAAGAAAAGGCAATCTGGCTTGTGAGATACGAATGAAGGTCCCCTGGATGCCTTCGCGGATTGTCAAAACGATGTCGAACTCAAAAATGAAATCTCTTAAATATAAGTTGTGTAAAGTCGTGAAGAACATCCAAATACTGCAATGAGAACTAATAACCTCTATAAATAAATATACTCAATTTTCAAGAGGTCATATGTTAATTATATATTTTTTAAATTATTATAGCTATTCCTTCTTTTTCTTTACTATATGTTATGGATGAAGTAATACATCCAATTTTAACTTAAAAATAGTAGGTAGCCAATGGTATTGGAGTTATGAATATTTTGTTTGCCCATTGTAGTTTAACCTCTCTAAAATAATAATACAAGGTAGCAATATCGTCCATTACGAAGTTTGGCATGTCAACCATCAGCGACGATGAGTATGATGATATCACCAGCTGCATTCGACGTGAGCGCCCAAGAAGTCTCTCTAACGAAGAACGTCGTGGTATACTCCGCCTCAATGCCGAGCTTCACCATGAGAAATCACGTATTGCATCCGAAACGATCGCCCGGACGGAGAATAAAGGTCGTCAAAGAGGTGTCGACAGAGGATCAGAGATCGGGGTGTGTTATCGACTTCCCTCATGCATGCCGTCACGTCACTTGTTCGCCAATTAAATCGCCAACGCAGCATGACACACGTCGGCATTGTCGCCAAAGATGCCATGGCTCTTTTGGTTGAGGCCGGCACCATACAATAGAACCCTGACGACAAAGTAAGAATGTCAGCGTGTTTCAGGGTTGTTCAGCTATCTATACCTTTCAGTGCTACTGTTTATACGTGGCAAGTGTCGAGGCCACGTCAAATACAGTGTGTCGAGTGAACATTCAGCTGCCCGCAACCTCGACGTACAACTTAAAAATCGACTGACACCCGCTGCACTTGTTGTGTACCATGACGAGAGCTACATTCATCACCATTACTCCCACCATCAAAACAGTCTGTTCGATCCGACGTATGACGAACCTCCCAAGGCCAAACATAAAGGTCGTTGTGTGTGTGTTTCATCGCAGGCATCATGACAATCGGACTCGAGATACCAAACCGAAGGTCCTGGACATATTTGAGGGTAGAAGAAGTCAAAGAATGAACTAAAAGATTACCACAGAATGTTCCACCACCAGTACTTTGTGCGCTCGATTGAGAAGGCCATGGACGAGGTCGACGCTCTGGGGAAGTCTAATGTGACGTTTGTCATGGACAACGCAAATCACCATAAGGGACTTCCGGTGGATACACCGCGAGGGACTCGGCGCAAGGAAGACCTGCTACTTGCGTTTCAACATGACGGTGTTATAGTTGAGGCACATGGTTTGAAGAAGATACTATGGTCACGGATCAATTCTGTGCGGACCCGGTGGTCGATGAATTGGCACGTGCGCGTGGGCACCATGTCATCTATACCTCGCCGCTTCACTCAGATCTTCAACCTATCGAGATGGTGTGGTCAAAAGTGAAGGGTGATGTTGGTGTAAAGAATACCGTCGACACGACGTTTGAAGATGTGGGTTCTCGCCTCGACGTGGCCTTTGCGGAGCTTCCACCTACAATAATTTGCACGTGTGTTCAGCACTTCGAAAAGCTTGTGAGGAATCTGTACGATGTGCTTGCTGCAATGGATGAAGTGGACGACGTTGACTCCATCTCGCAGGAGTCGTTGACTGGGCTAAGTGACAGCGGTGTGGAATATTTAATTTATTTTACTAACTTCATAATGTAATGTTTGCATCGTAAATGTAAGTGGCGTTTGCTTTCGAATATCAAATTTTCTCGACGTTCGAAATTGCAAAAGTTTCAATTAACCCTAATCTCTGGCCACTCGATGCGTTCGCAGACCGTTGGGGAAACCCAGCTGTAAAAATTTATACCAGTGTCTTTTTAAAATATATCAAATTTGTTCTTGGGACCCAATTTGAAGTCGGGTGGAAATCAGTTGGGTGTGCAACCTGCGCGTATTTCGAGGAATTCACTGTGTCTGTACTCGCTAGCGATGTCAAGCGTGTATTCCCCAACGAAGGGAAACTATGACGTGGACGTAGAGCTCCCTGTCCGAGATATCGAAGAGCCTAACATAGCGCAGTCTCGGTCGTGACGTATGAGCTTATTGCATGCGATCACGAAGATTCTGTCTGAGCGAGGTCTGGGCCGGGAAGATTGATAGCCCTGTAGCCCGCGCCTCTGGTGCTGACCAAACCTGGACCGTGGTGGACATCGAAGCCAGCCTACAGCCCATCGCCTGTCTGTCGCCGCAAGGTCGCCGCCGACCAGGGCGGTTACGAGGTGTAGCCGACCCCTGGCCCGTCCGGGTGTGCGCCGCCTGTGACCGGACTACCTCCTGCGACGACACCGGGACAAAGAAGACGTCGGCATGGCACA